CAGGACCCTCCACTCCACTCCTCCAAGGCAGAGGCTGGCGCTGCTGGACAGCCCCAGCCGTCGGTACCCTGGGATTTGCCCAGAACAGGATACAAGGTCATGGAAGAACCTTCTGGGCGCTCAGCCCCCTAACATCCAAGGCAAAGGTCAGGGGGACAGTGAGGTCTGGTATCTAGCCCCTAAGGCCAGCTCAGTGGGACAGTTTTATGTTACAGAGTGGTTTAGGTTTAGGTCAGAAAAGCAATCAGCTCGTTTTGTATGTGTGTATGGCAACCATTTTAATGACTGCCAGCGCACCGATGGGAGTGCCCCAGTCGGCAATCTGTTGTTGATGTCTGCCATGGACACAGGAGGGGACAGTGGCAGAGTGAGAGCCACTGGGCCGCATCCTGGTCCTGGGTGTGCTGGGGGGGGGGGGTGCGGCCTGTTCAGAATATCACCTCGGAGTGGACAGACATGAGGCAGACGGTCTCCTGCTCTCAAAGGACTGAAACTTTCTGGAGGAAAAGGATCACTTCTTGTCTTCATGAGCTCTTGAAGGAAAACATCCACGCAGTAGAGAGCGTGTCACCAGGCCAGGGTCGCAGCCTGGCGTGTGTGACAGCCCCTGGGGCCTCCCTGGCATCTCCAGCACATCCGGCCTGTCCCCACCTTGGGGCCCTGGTCCTTGGCTCCCACTGAGTCCTCTGCCCAGAAGCCCCCAGGGTCTCCTATCCGGTTGAGGGTGGGGGGACATGGGGCAGGGGGCTCAGGAGATGCCAGGCCAGATCTCCTTCCTGAGGGCTGAGAGGGGAAGGCTGGGAGGGGAAGGGCCTGCACTTCCTGGAGACAAGCTCCCCCCATTCCTTGGCCACAAACCCTGACCCCACAGCCCTGGGGGAAAGCAGGGAAGCTAGCTCCTGCCCAGGGCCATGACTGGGGCCACCAGGGAGCCGAGCCCTGCCCCCCACCAGCTCCAGGTCTGTTCCTCCTCCAGGTGGCTTCCCCCCAACAGTCGCCAAGCTTGGACCCCTGGCCTGGGGTCTCCCTCCCTGCCTGTGGCCAGCCCAGGAGCAGGGACCCCCGAGCCTCGGCCTCAGGGCTGGGTACAGCCACGTTCCCCCAGGACATCCCTACGGGGACACAGAGAGAAACAAGGCACCAGAGAGGAGGTCCAAGCCTGAGGGGGTACGGAGGGCAGCCTCTGTCAGGAGCACAGCCCGGAGGGCCTGGATGGAGGGGTTGGCAGAACTGGACTGAGCGGGGGTTGTGACTACATAATCATGCCTGGGGTGAGGACTTCACCCCAAGTCCACGGAGGGCCCGGGCAGCCGCCTGGCACATCCGGGGTTTCACTGGCCCACAGGGCGCCACGAGGCAGCATCCCGGGTAGACTGCCTGGAGGTGGTGGCCTAGGCCCAGACTTGGAGTGGAGGAGCCCAGACAGCTCAGGAAGGAAGGACAGCAGCTATCCCTCCCAGGACGATGGGGCTGCCAGGGCGAGGGCTCAGGCATTTCTGGAAGATTCCTCTGGAGAAGGAGGAAATGCGCAGAGGTGGGTCAGGCCCCGGGATGGGGATGCTGCTCCCCCTGACCTCCATATGCCTGCGAGGACTTAGCCAGCTTGCCAGAGCCCCGCACCACAGAGCCCCCGCAAGGGCAGGGGGCGGGGGGGGGGAGGAAAAGATCAGAGCGCGGCAGGCCGGCCCCAGCTCTGCCCTTCTGCAGTTTAGG